TATAATAAATACAGTATTTTAATAAATCCTGCTAATTAATTAAAATTACTGTAATTATTAAAATCATTGTATTTATTATAAATACTTTATTTATTAATAAAATAATATATTTTTAAAAAGTATTGTTAATTAAATATATTACAATTATTAATAATAATTTAATTATTAAAATACTGTTAATCAATATAATACCATTTATTAGTAAATACAATATTTTAATAAATACTATTAATTAATTAGTAATACTATAATTATTTAAAATAATGTATTTATTAAAAATACTACAATTTATTAAAAGCACTACTAATTAACTTATTTATTTTTTAATATTATTTGGTGTGATTTATTATTATTATTAACATAAAGATAAATCCATCAGTGTAATGCATGGGTTGGACATATAAAATCCGAATGAATCTTCACAAACGGGTTGTGTGCTGACCCAGTTATTTTTTTTTGTTTTTTCAATTTTTTTTTTTGTGGATTTTGGGCCTCTAATGGGTCGGTTTGTATGTCAAAACTCATATTTTGTTGATTTTAGAACCAAGAAACCATAGATTTTCTAGAAATTGTACCTGGTTCATTGTTGCTGCAAGTTTAACGCCTAAACCGACTTGAACCAAGCAAAATGTGCCTAAATGTTCGGCAACAAAGAAAAACTCTGAATCTAAAACCAACTTTGCAACAACATAGTTTATTTGAGAACCAACTCTAAAAAAAAAAGGCATTTGAAACTATCTCACATTTAGAACAACCTGTACAACTATCTTAGCTCTAAAGGTCTCCTATAATGTCAAAGAGAATAAGAAAAAGAGAGAGTTTGGAGTAAAGAGTAAAAGAAAGAGGGGGAGACATTTGGACTTCCGATAAGGCTCACATGAGATGCATCGGAAGCCCCAATGTCTCCTGCAAAATGTTCCCTTCAAGTTATAATGTTAATATTACTTGATTAAAAATATAGAAAATTCAAAATACTGAAAAAATTAGAAATGGGTGGGGGAGAAAGGAGAATCATGTTAAGGTGGACCATCCAATTTTATTTTAATACTGAGAAAATTAGAAATGGGTGGGGGAGAAAGGAAAATCATGTTAACGCGGACCGTCCAATTATATATATATAGATGCTTGACCAAAACATGAATGTGCTGACTTTCTTGAATATGATCAATGAATGATCTTGAGATTATTTTCTCCAAATAATCCAAAGATTAAAGTAAATTGATGAGCACAAAAATAGAAATATAAATTCAAAATTTAGTATGGAAAACTCCAAAAGGCATAGAGTTATAATATGTTGGAGACCTCTTTAAAGAATTTGGGAAATAAATGCTTAGGCTGCATGGTCATACGTTAAATACTTAAATAAAAAGAAAAGAAAAATCTTCTGATCATCCAATCAACCCAACCTTTCGAATTCAGTTGAGGATGGAATCTTCTAATCTTTTTAATTAATATGATTTCTTCTCTGCCCCATGCAAGTTGTGCGTTTTATGTTGAATTATGACATAACGTAATTATTTTAAAGAGAGCCCCCCCATATGACAGTTGACAGGGTAAAGTTTCTGATGTATAGAGGGGGTTATTGAATTTAAAGAGAGCCCCCCATATTTTAAATCCATTAGACTACTCACACATGGGTTATTGAATTTAAATAGAATGATATATAGGGGGTGTTCAATGATATGGTTGGTTTGTTTTTAAAACAAAAATAATTGCCACATCAGCAAAATTGTGTTGTTTTGGCTGATGTGGCAGTTGTTTTTATTTTTCAAAAACAAAACCAACCATGTTGTCAAATGCTTCCTTAATTTTAATTTTTATATGAAAAAATTCTATAAAACAAGTAGAAAAAATAGAATTTTATGGTGAGGGTAATGACCATACAAGAATTCCCATGCTATGCAAAATGAATGAATTGAAAAAAAAAAAAAAAAACTCAATGGCATCAAAGCTGAGGAAAACTTGAAAAAGAAAGTCCTTTATTTTCTTTATAAACATCATTAAATAAAAACAAAAATAGACTCCCAACAGCAATTCCTCCCCTAAGAATTGGCTGTAAATGAAGCTCTAAAGCCAGCATTTCCTCTTAAATATATATATATATATATATGAAAATAAAATTTTATTTTTACCATAAATAAATATATAAATCAAGTATTATAAAGACGAGATGAGATTAGTTGAATCAAATGGCTGTGTAATGGGATGTGGAACCAATGATAACGTCTCACACCAATCATTAAATGCATATGACCAACAGAGCTAATCACTCAGGTGCCCTTTGATAACGGCTGAAGTTGTTGAACTGAAAGATTTATTGCTTTGTCATTTAGTTATTAAAATAATAATTAAATAAGAAAAATTTCAAGGGTATAATGCTATACCCAGTTTCAATTTTCAACCATTAAGGATCCTATAACTTTTTAAAAACTTATTTATTAAAAGACAAAACAATAAACTTTTCGGTTCAACATGTTATGGAATTGCTCTTTGCCTTTTATGGATGGTGTGTGAGGTGTTATCATGGCTATCACGTTCAACAAATCCGAATTCTACAAAGATCACCCTTCAAATTTTTAGGTTTCAACACTTTGCCTCTTGACTTGCTAAAGGGCTTGATAGTGAAAGTAAAATTACTAAATTACTCGTTCAAAATTCCATGGGCTGACAGCAACAAATATCAAAATGACTAAAACAACCATTCTAAAGAACAAATTATTTCAACCAATAAAAATGGAGGAAAAAACACATTGTTCTAAAGGCGTTGATGAACTGATATCATTCTCAAGGCAGTCTAAAGATCAACTTTGTTTATAGAAAGTTGAGAGAGAAGCATGTGATATATAGTATTAAAAAAAAAAAAAACTAAACTAAAAGGGCAAAATAATCTCATTAAATAATATATGGCCGCCATAAGGGTCATTTGGGTTTTAGAAATGCTTAACAAAATATTCCATGAAGCTAATTGACAGAATGCCAACAGCAGGGGCAAGGTGCTGAATACAAAAATTCAAGCGGTTCTTTGTAGCAAAAAATAAAGTTTGGGCAAACATGTATATGTCAATACCGCCAAAGTACAAGGTTGGCTGAATGTAATTTATCCTAAAAATTCATTTATTTTGGGTAAATTACTGAAACCTCCTGTGAACTTTCTAATATAGTTGCAAGTAGACGCCTTTGTAGAATCTTCTAAAAAAGGCATGAAAATTTTTAAAATAACTATGCATTACTTTGAGGCTGGTTTCTATAGGAAAAAACAATACAAAATTTATGAGCAACAAAAGCAAAGAGAATTTAAAGCTGTAGCTTTACCTATGAATGATTGATGTGAAGGGAAAATTAGGAAAACAAATCAAATTAGAAAAGAGATTGGAAGGGTTTGGGGTAGTGATTCATATGAAGAAAAATTTGAAAAATAAGTATTTTTGTTAAAAGTAACTGTATGGGTATTTTGGAGGGTCTACTTGCAACTATGTTAGAAAGTTCAGGAGAGGTGATTGCAATTACCAAACTTCAGGGGAGGTGTCAACAACAGCCAAAAACTTCAGGGGAAGTTTCAGCTAGCAATTTACCCTAAAATTTTAAATAGTTATAGATGTTCAGTTATATTGCTAATTACTATTTTAAATGCAGTTCTAATTTTTAATATATTAAACTACTTAATTATTTATTGATCTTATACACGGGAAAGCTGGGAGGTAAATAATAATGGTAGAATAGTCCACAAACATAATAGTAAGTACATGAGAATATTAGGTGAATGCCATTCCTTGGTTGGGAAATAATGCAGAACAAGCATTGTTATCAATATATTAATTAACCTAAATAAATTACCAAAAAACTTAATAAATGTGGTATTATTTGATATAATACTAATTTAGTAGTTACATAAATATATAAATATATATGCACACACATTACTAATTATATAATTATAATCCATTAAAATAATGCATTTATTTAATTGCTAAACATTTCAGTGATATTCCTTTAATGGATTTGTAATAAGTAACCCTATGGGATGTTTAAAAATTTGTTTTTTTTTTATAATAAATTAAAGGAATAAATCAGGTTTCCTTACTTTTTCTTTCAAACTAAAGACAACCTTAAAGGGCGTGAATGTTGGGAATTGGGACCTAATTGCTTAGATTAGACGAGTTACTACATTTGATTATTGTAAGAAAAGGAGAGGAAGAGATATTTAACCCAATTAGTTAGGATTGAGAAATTGGAGAGAAGAGATTTTAGGCATTAATTAGACAAGAGATTGAGGTTTGAAACCTGAAAGAAAATGAGAGAATGATTGGTGGGATCCGCAATAAGGCAGGTAGCGTTATTAGTCTGAAACAACATATTTCCAAGTAAGATATCTCTCACATGTCTACACCCATTAGGCCATTCTCGTGGATAAACGGCATCTGGTAGCTTAGCTAGCGTCATTCATGCGGCCAATCACCAGCAACATTTGTTTTCAATTCCAACCACGTACCACTAATAAGTCTTAATTGCATGTATTGGTTCTAAAATTTTCAAGTACTTAATTTATCAATATATCCCAGGAACTTGCAAGGGATTTATATATAAGAGTGGTCTAAACTTTTGGGTASACTCTTGTGTACAAATGCTATGTACCTACATGTGTATGTGTATAAACCCCCGGCCGGTTTTGATGGCTTTCCTCAATATACAACAAAATTAGCCCCCGTTTGGATACTTTTTCTTAATTAATTAATTAAAATGCTAACCCATTAATGAAAGCATCATTTTTAAGTCCAAACTGAACCGCTGACTGGATCGTCCTTCGGGTTTAATTATTGATATTTCCACATTTTTGGGCTCATTTCTGTGGAGTATATATTATATAGCTGTATTTCTATAAGTGCTTAATGCTTAGATAGAATTCTAGTAAATATTATTGAGTAGCTTCTCGATTTGGCATCTCCCCAGCCATATAAAATTAGGTCTAGCTCCTGATCATCTTCAGTGATCAGCATCCAAGAATGGCTACCTTGAGATCTCTATCGTTTTCTCACATTCTAGTAGTTTTCATGGCCGTCATTAGTATTCCATGTGGTGCTACCGAGGAAGATAGAAAAGCAAGTCATCTTCGTTTTTTAGCTACGTGATAGTTTAGATATTCTTTTGTTAATCTGATGCTGAGTCTGTATGATCATAGCAACAGCAACTAATTAATTAATATATATGGATTCTCTGGTTGTGTTGATCTGATGGGCCATTTAGCTTCTTCGTCTGGATATGAACGGTCGATGGCATGGCATGGCATTGTCCAGAGAACCAGATGGCTATGGCTATGGCTATGGCTATGGCTATTGTACTGTATGCAGGCGAATTTACAGATTTGATGGCTATAACATTAGCAGCTATATATATAGTCTTGGTCTAATTAACCATTCAATATAAATATGTATAATACTGTGGGGCAGCTGTATTATATATGGTGATGATGACGATAATGCTGTCTGCATTCTGCAGGTTCACATTGTGTACATGGGCGCCCTTAATACTGATCAGGATGATGGATAWTTAACTTCATCTCAGCATCTTAGCATTCTACGACAAGTTGTTGAGGGAAGAAAGTCTGTATTATATTTAAATAATACATCCAGTGGCAGCTGTATTATTATTATTATTATTTAGCATTCTACGACAAGTTGTTGAGGGAAGAAAGTCTGTATTATATTTAAATAATACATCCAGTGGCAGCTG